TCCTCACTTGCAAACTGGGGCCAGTGACATTTCTCTGTGCCTCAGTTTTCCCCCTGGCAATAAGTATCAACATTAATGATGATTATTACAGGAAAGTGGGAGGTTAGGTGAGATCAGGGACCCTCAGTCTCCCTATGCAAGTCCATGGGGTTCTGCTCCTGGTCCCCTACCCCAGAGAGTTCCAGGTGACTCCTCCACCCCTTTCAGGTCTACCCTTTCTGTCGTCCTCTGGCTGGTGGGTGCTGATGGGGGCAGCCTCATCACTCAAGAGTGGAAGCTCACTCAGTTTCTGTGAATTTGTCTATACCCAGCAGGGAGGTGCGCATATTAAAGGGCTCCTGCTGGAGGTCTGAAGAGTGGGGGGGGGGCTTCTGTTTGTCAAGACTTTGTCATATCTTCCAAGCTCTGCTCCAACTGCTGTGGAAACAGCCTATAATAAAAATAAAAATTACTAGTAATCAGAAAAATCATCCCTCTCCGCCCAGCTGCACTCTTAAGCTGCAAAACACCTCGGGTTTCTGGAGTTAACCCTCTCTACCCCTACTCTAGAGGCTTACAACCTCTATTCTAAAGACAGGAAAACCGAGGCCCAAACAGGGAAAGTGACTGCCTAAGGCCACTTCAAGGGGAGGGGTGAAGCTAGGGTAGAGTCATAGCCAGATCTGTTCTCCTGGGAGGTTTGCAGAGAAACCAATGAGGGCTTCCTGGAGGAAATGGCAAGGAAACCTAAAGGAAAGGGAGGACACAGATCGGCAGAAGGAAATGGTGAAGAAGGTTCTGGCAGAAGGAAGAGTATGGAACTTGGAGGTGGGAGAATTTCAGGCACAGTCATTCATTCCACAAGTTTGCATTGTGCACCTACTGTGTGTCATGTCCTGTGCTAGACACTGGGGACACAAGCCAGTCAGGGCCTCTCCCTCATTGAGAGCCCATGTTGGTGAGAGGCATCTATATAATCATCCAAAGGGTCCAGGACTGACGGGAAACACACAGGCAGCAGTGGGAGCTCCAAGGAGGTGCTTGACCCAGCCTGGGGTTGGGGGGAGTCTGGGCAGGCTCCTCAGAGGAGGAGATGGCACCAAAGTAGGACCAGGAAGATGGGGGGACATGACTAGGCAAAGAGATAATGGAAAAGTGTTCCAGCATATGCAAAGGCCCTGAGGCAGAAATAAGCCTACTGGACAGACTGACCTCAGGTTGGAAAGTTCCTGGGGCTCAGGAGAAGCAGTGCCAGTGGTGCAGGACTCAGGCTGTGTTCTGAGGGCAATGGGGAGCCATTGAGGGTGAGTGAGAAGGGGTGGAGCTGTTCCTACCTGGAGGGGATGTAGGTTGGAACAGCTGGCCCTAGCCTGGGCATTTCCAGTGAAGTGCCTGCCTTGCCTGCTGCTTGTGGCTGGGCCATGAGCTCACCTCCTGTTTTCCTTGGCAACCAGCACACCTGGAGGCCGCTCCCAGCTGGTGTTGGAATTCTTGGGAAAACCATGGCCCCAGCAGGCTTGCGTGTGCCTCATGCAGCTGGGGCAAAGGCACATGGAAGCCAGGCCCCTGCCACACACTGGGCACAGGGCTGGGGCTTGAACACACGTGGCTTTGTTCAGGCCATGGGAAGAAGTGGGGAAGGGTGCTCCAGACAGAGGGAATGGCAAAGGCAGAGTCCCAGGGGATGTCCTGTTTGCAGGTCAGACAACAGAGTCCCAGAGATTTGCATTCTGGTTTCATGCTCTTGCTTCCTGGATCCCACCAGCCCTGAAATCTCCCTTCTAAGCAGCGTCCCCTTCCTCCCATGCACAGCACACCAGCCTCACATTACAGAATAACTCACTCTTTCACAGCCTTTGTACTTGCTGTTCCTTGCCACTCCAAGAGGAAGGAAGACGCCTCTGTCTTTCTAGTCCTGGCTCTGATTCTCTCTCCTCCAGGAGGCCCTCCCTGCTCTACCTGGGCAGGGCTTAAAGGCTGATGCTTGTGTGACAGTTCTGTGGGAACTGAGGCAGTGTATTCCTGACAGGGAAGGTTAGGATGACCTGACTCTGGGACTGGGAGTATCTGTGTTTAGTTCTGTTCTTCCCAGCCTGGGATCTCCTTGGGAGCCTGGGGGCCTGGTGCAGAGAGGGAAGGCTGGAGGGTTTGGTGAGTCATGTTAGTGCAACATTGTTATTATTCCTTATAATTAATGTAACATCATTGTTATTGATATAGTAACCCCTGCCCAGCACTGTACTTGAGGACACACTCAGGGGCTACATGGCCTGGGTTTGAATGTCATCTGGACACAGCCTTGCATTGTGACCCAGGCAAGTTGTTTGACCTGTCTGTACCTCACCTGTAAAATGGGGGTGATCCTTGTTGAGAGGATTGAATGAGCACACCCATGCACAGCATCTGGCTCCAGTGTCAGCCTCTTAGACATTATGGGATTTACACACTGTCACGCCTCAGAGTTCTTATTCCTGGGAGAGGAGACAAGACACCTCAAGGTCACATAGCTGGGATTAGAACTGGCAAAGGTGGGACCCCTAAGGCCTTTATACCCCTCCCTGCTCTTGACCACAGAATCCAGATGAGAAATGCTGGCCCAGGCCCCTCATTAGCTGTGTAGCATCCACTGCCCAGGACCTCCTGGCCTGAGCCTTTGGCTGGTGTGCCAGCCAGCCCCCCTTCCCACCATGCCGGTTCCAGCGGTTCTGGGAGCCTGGCCAAGCTGGGGCCATAGGGCTGGTGCTTGCTTGATGGGGCCCCCAGGGCGCCTCCTGGCAGAGGCTTGCTGGGCCAGGAGACATGTGGGCGCCCCCAGCTTACCCGGCTGCCTCCCTTTTTGCATCCAGAGGGAAAATATGTCGGGAAGGCAGCCGCCCTGCCCTGGGCGGGCCCAGCCACAGGCCTAGGGTCTGGGGAATTCATCAGAGCAGCAAGAAAGGCCACAGCAGAGGAGCCTGACCTAGCCTGCCTCTGACAGCCCAACTGAAACCCTCTCTCCAAAAGGACCAAGTGGCACGGGGCAGAGAGACAGGGTGCCATCTTGGCACTGGAGCCTGGTAGACCCTCTCTGACTTGCTCTATGACGTTCAGCAAGCCCTGCCTTATCTCCCACCCTCCATTTGCCCCAGTCCTGTCCCCGTTCTGTCTCAGTCTCCCTAAAAGGTGATGATAAAGAAGAAAACAATAAACATAGTGGCTACAATTTTATTCAGTAAAATAACAAATGCTCAAAGTCTTGCCAACCACTTTTGTGGGGTTTCCATTTCTGTTCCCCCACCCCTACTCTTCATAGCTTCAGGCGGCAGGAAGCGGTCATTGTGGGAGGCAATAGGGCACAGTGATGAAGGTCTTGGTCTCTGGCATTTGGGCCCAGTTCTGCTATGGGACCTAACTAAGGCAAGTTGCTTAACTTCTCTGTATCTCAGTCTCTCTCTCTCTCTCTCTTTCTCTGTCTCTCTCTGTCTCTCTGTCTCTCTGTCTCTCTGTCTCTGTCTCTCTCTCTCTCTTTCTCTGTCTCTCTCTGTCTCTCTGTCTCTCTGTCTCTGTCTCTCTCTCTCTCTTTCTCTGTCTCTCTCTGTCTCTCTGTCTCTCTGTCTCTCTGTCTCTCTCTGTCTCTCTCCTTCTGAAGAGGGGAACACCACCTCCAAAAGTTTATTTTAATGTAAATTTTTATTTCTCAAGGTTAGCAAGCAGAGTTGCTTCAGGAGAGGAAGAACTTCACTAAGAACGAGAGGCCCACTGGGATTTAATGATGCAGCAGTCATGGGTACTGATTTCTAAGAACAATTTTACACTGACATTATCTTCATAGTTTTCCAGGGAGCGCTGGGGCAGGACAAAGGGCCGCTGCTCTTTCTTCCTTTCCTCTCACATGTAATGAGAGTTTTAGTAAAACAAGCCTGTGTCTGTGTTACAGGGTAAGAGCCTGCCTGCGGGGTGAACTGCGGAACGGTTGTTCTCTTCTTCAGTCCCTCTCTCTCTGTCAAATGAACTGAAAAGTGGAAATGCCTTAAGATTTGTCCACAGTAACAGTAGCAGTCAAAACTAAGGTGAAAATGAAGACCTTGAGAGTCCCACTTCCTATGGTCATCGTGAGAACGGAATGAGTTGTCCATGGAAAGTGCTGAGCCCTCGGTTGGTAATGTCTCCACTCTCCAGACAAGTAAACTGAGGCTCTGCGAGGCAGATTTGTTCTGTTGCCTCGATTTGGGCATCCAAGCATGCTCAGAGAGGGAAGTCACACACTCCCTCTCCTCCTCAGAAGATACACAGCCTGGCCGCAGGAAGAAGGTCCGCCATCCAAGTTTCTGTGGCTCTGTCTGAGGAGGGTGGGTAGATGGACAGAGCCCTGCACCCGATTCCTCATGCCCCCTCCTCCAGCTCCAACCCCAGCTCATTAACAGGAGGCCCTTGTTCAGCCCAGTGATGGATGGACAGAAGCCGAGGGCGGAGTGTGTTTACCCACTGGTTGCCTGGCTGGCAGGGGCCTGGCTGGGGCATGGGCCAGTGGAGGACGGAAGCTACCAGGCAGGGAGGAGCCCCAGCCCCCAAGTGGGAAGACTGGCACAAAACAGATGCCAAATAAGTGATTATTGATCAGTGGGATGAAATTAAATAACTTCATCCTCTGGACTGACATTGACCCCGTTCTGCACAGCCACCGGGTAGAGGAGGTCTTGGCCTCTCCCCCCGAGGTGGGTGGCCTGGAAGGCCAACAAATGCACATAAGCTGCATGGAGCGCTTGCTGCACAGAAGTGGGGCCTGCTGGGCTGGAGGAAGGATTCCAGTGGTCAGAAAGGCCACTGCATGGGGAGATGTTGGTGCTGAGACCTGACCGGGCAAACGGTTCTGGCTGAATAAGCGCACCCCAGGCAGAGGGCACAGCAGGGGCAAAGGCCACGGTGGGATGTGCCTGATGTGTTGGAGGTTCAGCAAGGTGGCAGGTACAGCTGGAACAGAGGGGCCTGGAGGAGGAGGAGCGCAGGACCACAGGGAAGGATGTGGGAATGGGAGTCCTGCACAGGGACAGAGTCACGATCCAGGAGCCATGTTTGGGCTCCATGTGCCTCTCCAGCCCCATCTCTATCCTCCTTCCAGCCCCTTTACCTGACTGCTCCCTGGTGCACCATTTTCTTTAACTTGGCTCACCCCTTATCCCAGTTAATGGCCTTCTATGGCTTCCAAAGTGCCCTAGGCATCCTCTATCATAGCTTGACCACACTGCATAGGCACTTTTGAGTTACATGGGCTATGTGGCTATGTCAAATGAGCCCCGCCATCTTGTTCCCAACCATGTCTCCAGCATCATGCACACATGATGGAATAAATAAATGCCAATAAATAAATAAATGGATATACAGGTAGGTGAATGGATGGTTGGCTGATGGATGGATGGGTGGGTGGATAGATAGATGAGTGAGTGGAAAGGTGGGTGGGTAGATGAATGAATAGATGAAGGGATGGATGATGGATGGATGGATGGATGGATGGATGGATGGATGGATAGATGGATGATGGATGGACAGATGGCTGGGTGGGTGGATGAATGGATAGATAGATGAGTGAGCAGATGATTGGATGGATGAGTGGGTAGGTGGATAGGTAATAGATGGATAAATGGACTCTCTCCAAGAGTCTCTCTGGCTATGTGATAACCTCATTCAGAGGTCACTGTGAGGAGTCAATAAGAGAATAAAGGTGAAGCACATAGTTGGCACCTACCCATTGAGTCTTCCTGACTCTGTTTACCACTGAGTTGAATAATTAATTACTAGAGCCAAGTTGTTCCAAAGAATCCAAGAGTCACGAGAACATAGAACAAAGAGCCATAGAACTAAGAAGTGACAGTTATAGTATCATGGGTTGTTGGATCCATGGGACCACGGAGTGCCAAGGCCACAGAACTTTGGGTCTTAGGGCCTTGAGACCACAGAGTGCTAAAGCTACAGAATTATGAGATCTTAGAGCCATGGGACCACAACATTGGGCCACGGCATTGAGAGAGCCATGCACTCAGGGTAATGTGGCCACCAGTCAGCAGAAGCACAGAACTGTAGGATAGTGGAAGCCACAGGACCACAGAGGGGCTGAGACACAGTCCCAGGGTATCCCATATCTGAGGTGCCACAGGATGACATCTCAGAACTGACCCTAGCAAAACTGCCCTCTCAGCCACACCCTCATCCGCTGGCTGTCCAAGGAGGCTCCCAAGAGCCACAAGAGCTATGAGGCTCCTTTCCTCCATCTCTGGGCAGCCACAGGAGAGAAGGACCACGTCATCACTTTTGCCTGCAGGCAGCAAACCGCCACTCAGTGAATCCCTGTGCCAAGTGAGGCCGTCCAGGTGCCGGGAAACAGTGCCAGCCTCCGGCCAGGCGCGCCGGAACACCGAGTGCCCAGCAGCAAGTGGAAAAAGAATCAACGAGTTCCTTCTACATTCATATCCTTTTAAAAGCCAATAGCAACACGGCATGGAGTGGAGGCTGTACCCTGGCACATCCCGTCTGGAAGGCAGGAGTCAAAGCCCAGCTTGGATTCCACTAGACACATCTGTGTATTAATGAACTCTTCTGGACAGCAACTGTTCTCCCAGCAGACCCCACATCTGACACCCAGAATAACCAGTCTATTTTGGAGAGGGGTGGCAGTTCCAGCTGCAGCACAAGCCTCCCTGGAAGACCGTCACTGGGGGGCAGCTCCAGGCCTAGCTGAAGCCCTCCCTACTCTGCTGGCTTCCTGACCTCCCCTAGGTACCAGGCAACTTTGAACACCACAAGGAAACAGGCCTGGCGCAGACCTGAATGCCCTTCCAAATGACTGGCAGGTGGCAGAGGAGGAGCCCACAAGAGGGGCCTCCTCACCCCATCACTGGTTCCAAAGCTGCTCCCGGCCTTGCTTCAGGCCCAAAGGGTCGAAATGAGGGGAATATAGAATCACAGTGACCATAACCCAGAGCTGGGAGGGAGGCAATGAGCAAATAGAAGCCCAGAGAGTGCAAGATATTTGCTCAGGGCCACACTGTAAACGAGAGGCAGATCTTTTCTTTTTCTTTTTTTAATTATGTTTCCTTGTGGTAAAAACACATAACAATATTTACTATCTTAACAATTTTTAAGTATGCTGTTCAGTAGCATTAAGTATGTTCACATTGTGCAACCATCACCACCGTCCAGCTCCAGAATTCTTCATCTCAAAAAAACTGAAACTATGTCTCTATTAAACAACCCCTTAGCCCCCTCCCCCAGCCCCTGGCACTAATCTCTACCTTCTCAATCCACGCCTAAACTGTTTTCTCTTAGCGACTAGGATCAGAAAATCTGAAAATGATTCAACCCACCCGATTTTAAACAACTACTTTGTTCCCCTTGCCCCCCTGAGATTGCTGGGTTCTTGTCCCTTATGCTCCAAGCTGGGTCGTGGATGGTCCAAAAGGGGACCTTGTCGTAGGAGTAATAATGCTCCTTGAGGTGAATAATATTTTTCTTCTTATTGTAAAGATGGAAAAACCAAGGCCCAGGGATGTGAGAGCCCTTGTTCAGGGAATCCCACACTCCATCTCACCTGCCTGGAAAGCGATCAGGACAAGGCTGGCCATGGCTTGTCTGACATGAGGGTTCCAACGCCCAGCTTAGGGCTTGGCCCACAGTAGGTACATCATGAGACCTTGAATGTAAAATGCCACATTTTCCAGATGGGAAACTGTCACCCCTTATGGCCAGAGAGATGTTGGGACCTGGCTTTTTGTCCCCCTGACCCCTGCCCCTACTCCTGAACAGGGCCCTGGTGGGGGGTCTCAGGGCTGTGGATTAGCAGGCTTCCCAGGGCTGTTTTTCCACTCAGCCCTGGTTTGATGCTGGAGAAAGGCCTCAGTGCTGGTGATTATTTATTTAACCTTTGCAGCCAGAGACTCAAAGCTGAAGCCATTTTGCACTCCCCCTTTTTCTCCACCAGGCCTGGCCATCAGACCACATGGAGGTCTGACACCCTGAACTCCTGCACACTGGGCCTCCCCAAACCGCATGGTCATGGGGCTGTATCCAACTGCACATCTGGACTTTTCTACTTGGTCCTGGTTTCCAGCTGGAGCAAAAGGGCCTGGGATGGGGAAAATGTGGGCCCCGCCTGCTTGCACAAATGTTGGGGGTCAAGGGCTTGGCCTATGCCCCTGTCTGCTTCTCTGTAGTGGACCTCATCCAGGTCCGGATGTCAAAGGCCTCTCCTTGCCCACAAGGCCCGTGGTTCCATCTGGAGCAGGACCAGCCTGACCCAGACATGTTGGTCCAACCAGACACTGGAGCACACAGCCAAGGTAGGGCTGTCGGTCCCTGACATCACCTCTCTAAGGCTTCCTGTCTTAGGCAATGGCCCCAACGTCCACTCAGGGCTGGGCCTGAGACTTGGGCAGCTGTCCCCCACATTCAGAACATCAACAACTCCTGCTCCCTCAGCCTCCAAAACATTCTAGTCCAAACACTTCTCTTGTCCCTGTAGCCCCGCCCTGGTCTCAACCCCGCTAACTCCTTTCTGGACCCTACCCCAGCCTCTTCCCCATGGGAGCCATAAGGGATGTCTCAAAATTATAAATCAGATTGTTTTTCTCTCCAGCCACACACCCTCCATGGCTCCCCATTACTTTCAGAATAAAACCCATCTCCTCCCTGTGGCCTTCAAGGCCCCATGTGATCTGACCTCAGCCTGTTCCCCAGCCCATCTCCTCCTCCTTTGCTCACTCTGCTCCACTCACACCAGCTATTCCTCAAACAGCCAAGCCATTTCCCTACCCCAGGACCTTTGTATGAACCATCCCTTCTGTCTGGAACGCTCATCTTCCATATTTACATGATACTTTCCCATTCTTCAGGTCTCAGCTTAAAGATCACCACTTCAGGAGGCCTCCCCCAACTTCTGAGCAAAAATACCTTTACCCAAGTTTCTTCCAAATACTCTTTGAAATCATCTTCTTTTTTTGTATTTCCATACAAATACAAATTATATTTTACCTCCAGTGTGTACTATCATGCCCAGCACATACTAGATGGGGTTGTGTCTTCTCAGGGACAAGGGGACATACCAGCCCCAATGCCAAAGTCTGAGAAATATCTGCCCCTCTGAGACCTCCTGAGTGCCCCCAGCGACACCCTGGGTTTCATAATCCAGAACTTCATTCTTAATACATGCTAGGGTGGTGTGGAGCTCACAGGCAGCTCTAGGAGGCCAGGAAGAGGGACCAACTGAAGGAGGAATAAGCATCAGCCAGATCAGAGGCAACAAAGTGTGCTCAGGGTTGGGGGAGCAGCATGGATAAAGGCCTGGAGATGACGGAGAACAAGGCAGCATTCCTGGAACTGGGTGTGGTGGAGCCAGCTCATGTGGAGTGAGGGGAGACAGGTAATGGAGTCTGGACTCCATTCAGGGGTGATGGGGAGCCTTGGGAGATGTGTCAGCAGAGGGCACATCAGACCTGTACCCCATCACTCCCAGCCGGATACCAGGAGGCTCCCTCCCCAGACCTCAGCAGCTTGTGGATTCAAAATGCTAATGCTGGCTGGGACTATTTTGAATCAGCTTTATATAAATTCCTGTGGAGTGGACCACAGGCCACTTGCCATCCCTGCCACCACAGGGCTCAGAGAGGTCCACGGTCTGCAGGAGCCTCCCAGACCCATATTACACACTGACAGCCATCTGGCCCTGCTGGAGTTTCTTGCCCCCACCCTGAACAGCAGGGTCCCCCTAACGCCCTGGGTCTGGCCCTGATCTTTGGTGGTTGTCAAAGACCTCTTCTCCTTATTCCCCTGGAATTTTCCTTACAGGCCCTGCCAACATCTTCAGGAACATATAAAGGAAAATGTTTCCAGTCTGAGGACGGCTGTTTTATGGCTCTCAAGGCTGGGAGTCTGACTGCAGAGTGGAAAGGCCTTGTCACACTGCTATTTCTCTGCAGAGCCGCTCGGACCCAGCCTGCCCTCTCTAGAGACTTGGTTCTGCAGTGACTTTCTAGTTTAGCTAAGCAAAGTCCTCTTAGACCCTATCTCTGGATTGAGGAGAAATCCCCTAGAAAAAGAGAGTCCCAGGCTACAGCCCAAAACTGATACATTTTCCTTCATTTATTCACTCAACAAACACCTGCTGCACTCCCACTGTGCGCCAGTCTCTGTGTGAAGGTCTCTGTGTCGGCTACTGTGGACACAGAACAAGTGGGACCTGTTTTGTCTTCGGGCGGGGTTCAAGATTGGGTGGATGGGGGCTCCACATTACCTCCATGTCACAGGGCTGAAAGTAGAGGCCAGGCAGCTTGCCTGAGACCATGCAGTGTGTAATTAGAGCTGATGAGAATGAATATACTTAGAAGTTGTAGGAACTTCCTCCAGCCATCGAGTCTCTGGCCTGTGGGATACAAGAGTGGGGAAGGCCATAGAAAATCTCTAAATCTGTCCCCATCCCCAACACAAGCAGAAACAGTAACTATATCACATCTGCAGAGATTAGGCCACCATCAAAGGCCTAAAGTAAGAAGGGTTCCCTAATTTCTCTGTTTAATTCTCTGGTCAGCCATGTAGGCATCAGATGGGCCTTAGAGAATCACCGTGGATTGCAGCAGGCCTGATGAAATGGATGTCCCATTCAGCTGCTGCATGGACTGGGAGGCCTGGCCAGAGTGTATTACCAAGGCCTCAGGTATGTCACACGTGGCCATTGGTTTGGGCCCTGCATCCTTTGCTATTCTGATTAGAAAGAGGGATGAGAAACAGTTTACATTCCCATGAGATGAACAAGGATATGCATTTACAATTTTGCCCCACAGCTAGGACTGCCAGATAAAATACAGATGCCCATTCTATTTGAAGAGCTGATGGAAAAGTTCTGGAAATAGATAGAGGTGGTGGTTGCATAACACTATGAATGTACTAGATGCCAATGAATTTGTACACTTAAGTATGGTTAAAACGGTAAATTTTATGTTATATATAATTTACCACAATGAAAAACAAACAAGTTAACAAAAATACAGAATGCCCAATGGAATTTGAATTCAGATAAGCAAAAAAAATAATGTTTTAGGGTAAGTATATACCAAATATTACCTGGGTTATGCATATTCTAAAATTTTATTTGCCACTCCACATGACTAGTCATCAGAGAAATGCAAATAAAAACCACAGTGAGATATCACCTCCCAACCATTAGGATGGCTACTATAAAAAAAACCAACAAAACCAAAACAGAAAACAAAAATGCTAGTGTGGATATGGAGCTATTAGAACGCTTGTGCACTGTTGGTGGGAAAGTAAAGTGGCGCAGCCACTATGGAAAACGGTATGGAGTTTCCTCAAAATATTGAAAATAGAACTACCGTATGATCCAGCAATTCCATTTCTGGGTATATCCCCAAAAGAATTGAAAGCAGAGACTCAAACAGATATTTGTATACCAACGTTCACAGCAGCATCATTCACAATGGCCAAAAAGTAGAAGGAAACCAAGTAACGATAAGCAGTTGCTCCCCATCCCGGCCCCTCCGCCCCGTCCCCAGCCCCTAGCAACCACTAATCTACTTTTTGTTCCTATGGATTTACCTGTTCTGGATATTTCCTCTCATTGGAATCATACAACGCGTGACTTTTATGTTTGGCTTTTCACTCAGCATCACGTTTTCAAGGTTTATTCAGGTCATAGTGTGTGTCAATGCTTCATTACTTTTTATGGATGAGTAATATTCCACTGTGCAGATGAACCACTTTTTATTTATGCATTCACCTGTTGATGAGCATTTTGGTGATTGTGAATAAAGCTGCTGTGAACATGCGTGTACAAGTATCTCTTTGAAAACCTGCTTTCAATTCTTTGGGGTATATACCCAGAAGTGGAATTTCTTAGTCACATGGTCACTCTATATTTAACTTTTTGAGGAACTGCCAGACTGTTTTCCACAGTGGCTGCTCCATTTTACATTCCTACTGGCAGTGTATGAGGGGTCCGATTTCTCTACATCCTTGACAACACTTGTTATTTTCCGTTTTAGATTATGACCATCCTAGTGGGTGTAACATGGTCCATTTTTCTTTCAATCCTTTTGTCACTTCTAACACACTACACCAGTTACTGAGTTCTGATGACTCGTTTATTGTCCATCTCCCTGCTAGAAGAGGCCACATAGCTATCTGCGAATCGAGGACAGTGATATGTAGTCTAGCCCACTGGGAGGAATAAGCTAGTTTCACACCCCAACATCTTCTAAAATAGCCACAGTGAAATTCCACCCAAAATGTATGCCAGCATACAGCCTAGTGTGAGAATGAAAGGGGTTCCCAGGGGCCGTCTTCCTTTGGGAGATGCTAGAAAGCCCTGCCACCCTCAATAGCAGCTTTGAGTCTCTGTAGGAGCCAGAGCTTTGAGGCCAGGCCAAAACCCACCTCTCCAGACACCCCAGCGTGTCCTCCGAAAAAGCAACCTGTGGTTGAATTAGAATCAAGGTGGCTGCCCGCTGTCCCCCCACCCAAGGCCTTCTTTGACCTATCGTCACCTTCAAAGAAACCGTTCAGAGAGCAGAGAAGACTATAAAATATACACACACGCCTATTTTTCTTTTCCCACCAGCATCGCTGGAGCCTTGGCCACACATCCATGCCTCACAAGGGACTCCTTTGAAGCAAGAATGGGGCCACAGAGGGGGGCCCACAAAAGCCTACAAGTACCCACTGTTCCTGGAGCCCCAGACAGGGTCCAGTCCATGGTCCGGTGGGACTGGCCACTTCTCAGCAAGGGTGGGGTTACAAGGGCCAATCTGTGGGAGCTGGGAGCCCAACAGAGGGTTTTAAGGAGGCTAGTGGCCAGCCTAGGGGAAGCAGCTGCGGGATCCTAAACGTCCTTTTCCCAAAGTCATGGAATTTCCCTGAGGCAGCCACGGGCTGCTTACTCTTGAGGGACCTCTCTTGGTACAAGAGAAGAATTCCATTTTCCTGGACTCAGGGACTGGCATGTAACTCGAGGAGGAGCTGGGCCAGCACGTGGGGCAGAGTTGTTAATTCAGGACTGGCAATTGAATTCAAGCTGGCTTAAGTCACCAAGTGGGATGGGCCTAGGATTAGTCAAGATTTACCTAGACTGAGGCAGACACACCTGTGGTGGAGGCCCAAGGGACTTCACGTGGTCTGAAATATATTTTTAGTGTTTTTAGTTTTGTTTTTTAAATTTTAATGAAGAATTGTTAAAACATAGACAAAGTAAAGAAGACTGAACATTTATAAAGAGCTGGTGCTTGATGGCTGGTGGCCAGGTGCTGCCTTAAGCTCTTCACATAACACACTGTGGGGTGTTGGGGCCACTGGAATCTCATTTCACAGGTGAGTCACAGAGAGGTCAAGACATTTGAGCTGATGATAGGGAGAGCATGTGAATCCATACTTGCTCTAGTTAACCCAAACTTAGCAAAAGTCTATCCTATGTGGTTAGAATATAGTCATGTGTTATATTTTTTGTTTTAATTGAATTTTATTTTTTAAAACTTTTATTTTGGTAAAACATATAACATAAAATCCTCCATTTTAACTGTAGAATTCAGTGGCTTTAAGTACATTCACCAAATGTCATGCAACCATCACCATTATCTACTTCCAAAATTTCTCATTGCCTGAAACAGAAATCCAGTATCCATTAAGCAATAACTCCCCATTTCCCCCTTCTTCAGCCCCTGGTGACCTATAATCTGCTTTCTGTCGCTGTAGATTTGCCTGTTCTGGACATTTTGTATAAATGGTATTATTCACTACGGTTTTTAGCATCTGGCTTCTTTCACTCAGCATGATGTTTTCAAGGTTCATTCATGTTGTGGCATGTGTCAGTACTTCATTCCTTTTCATGGCTGAATAATATTCCATTGTGTGAGTGGACCATATTTTGTCTATCCATTCATCAGCTGATGGACATTTAGATTGTTTCTATCTTTTTGGCTATTGTGACTAGTGATGTTGTGCACATGTGTGTACTAGGATCTGTGAACCCCAGCTTTGAATTCCTTTGTTATATTTTTATTACACACATGTATATTTTTCAAATAATACTGTCATGGACATTACTTTTTTAAACAGTATTACTGAATTGTAATCGAGATACCAAAAACTATACATATTTAACGTGTACAATTTGATGTGTTTGACATATGTCTACACCTGTGAAACCATTACCTTGATCAAGACAGTGAACACAGCTATTGTCCCAAATGTTTCCTCCCGCCTTTGTCGTTTCTCTCTCCAGCCTCTCCCTAGGCAACTTCTGACCTGTTTTTTGTATGTTTACATTAATTAATTTTCACTTTCTAGAATTGCATATAAATGAAATCTTGCTGTATGTAGCCTTTTGGGTCTGACTTCTTTCACTAGCATGGTGCCTTGGAGGTACATCCGTGTTGTTTCAAGTGTTGGTGATTCATACTTTTTCATTGACGAGAAGTGTTTCGTTGTGTGTTCATCTATTTTCCTGATGATGGACATTTCTGGTTGTTTTCTGTTTTGAACGATTGCAAATAAAGCTGCTGTGAATATTCAAGTACAAGATCTGCTTTCATTTCTCTCCAGTTTATACCAAGGAGGGGAAAGGCTGGCTCCCATGGTGGATGAACATTTAACTTTTGACGAAATTATCAAATTGCCTTTCCAAGTGGCTGCACTGGTTTGCATGTCCAGCAAACCAAGACAAGAGTTCCAGTTCCTCCCTGTCCTCACTAGCACGTGATGGTGTCAGTCTTTGTCATGGTAGCCATCTCTGGAAAGGGTTGTGAGAGAAATGTGCCAGAGATGACTGGGAATGGAAGATTTTGACAAAATGTGACTATCCTTTTAGTCATCTCTTCAACCTATAAACATGGGTAACAGGACTCTTCCTTGTTTTCCCCAAGCAGTGACAAGGGCTCATGAGTTGTCCCCTAAAACATTTATTGAGCACCTATCGTATGCTCACTATTGTGCCAGGCCTTGGCCATACGACCAGTAAACAAGACTAACATAGTTCCTGCTCTCAGAGAGCTGGCTTCTACCTTGGCTTGGATTGGGTTTTCTAGAAGCAGAGCCTGAGATGGAGATGCAGGGTTGTGTGAGTTTAAGGGAAATGTGCGAGGGAATAAGGGACGAAAGACAGGTTAGGCAAGAAGCAGGCAAGGAAGTGGGCTCAGCTAGAGTCAAGCCTCAGTCCGATCTGGGCGATGGGGAAGGCCTGGAGCTTCAACGACCACTAGAGTCGTCCAACTTTGATGCAAGGGGTCCAACCTCTTGTGCCCGATACCATTCAGTCTTTGGTGTGGACTTCCCTAGAATTTGTATGTTTTGGAGGGAGCGTGACCTACCTGCTGAGGCAGTTTGGTGAAGGGCAATTCACAAGGAGTTGCTGTGAGCCATTAGCTGCCAATACTTGTAGCAGCTGGCGTAGGGGAGCACCAGCCAGTAAAAAAGGTCTAGGTAGGGCACCCACAGCATCCACTACAAAATATGGTGTCCATTAGACAAATAATCACTACCGACAATAATTTAATCACAATTACAAGCAATACTGGCTATGAAGAGGTCTCCATCAGAGAAAGAGAGAGGAAAATCTTGGGATGACAGGAAAAGGAAGGCTAAAGAATGGGTCTGGAATCCTGGCTACCACGTCATTGGGTCCTAGGGGTCAGCTGGTCCAGACCACTTTCTGGGGCGGGGCTCCCTCCTGAGGCACCTGAGGTGACTGGATGGGCTTTGGATTTTATTGAAACCATCTGTTGGCTTGTTGGGATTTTCCCCCCTTAAACTGTCTTCCTGGAGAGGGGAGAACTTACTCATTTCCTACACCCCTATACTTCAGTGCATAGGACAGAAAAGATGTGAAGGAAGAAGGAACCTCTTATCATGTTGTGACAGGAATACTGGAAAATGAGGAAACATGCAGGATCAGGAACAAACCAGGAGCCCTTTGAGTTGACTTCAAGCATTTATAGAGAGCCCCAGAATATTAAGACAGAAAGGGAAGTGGGGGATTCTCCAAGACATTTTACAAAAAAGGAAGCTGAGTCTCGGAATTTAAGGAGATTAAGACTCATAAACCAGGGGCTGAACTTAGACTTTTTACTGAATACCTACAGTGTGTAGGCATTATTCTCTGCACGGGTAAGACCCTGTGATGAAGAAAGCCAATCTCTGTCCACGTGGAACTTTATAAAGGGGGTGACTAGTAGCTCATTTATTCTTCATCCCATCCTAATGGTTACTATTTCCCTTTCCCGTGAAACTCGAGGTTCAGAGAAGTCACTTGTACAAATTCACACAGCCGGTAGGTGGCCAGGTCTACATTTCACTCCAGAGCAAGTGGTCACAATAGCTTTGCTATATACTGCTTCTGAATAATAATATTGTCCGAATCAGCAGCAAACACCATTTCTGCGCGCCAGGCTCTTTTATTCAACCAAGGCACACTGAGCACCTATTTTGTTCAGGCATCCCTCCCTACTCAACAGTGGGGAAACAAGCACAGGGGGCCTCTCTGAGAGATAGGGATGCACAGTCCCCGTCAAGCCTCCCCAGCTCCACTTACGTAGGGAATTCAGTTAGTGCTCAATTAACCCTAGAAGGGCGAACCACCACAACCTCACCGCCTGCCGCCGGGGAACCGCTGAACAGCGGTTGGGTCCGGACCACGTGTTCTTGCCGCCGCCGCCGCGACGGCCGTTTGTTAGTACCGCCCCCTGCGCGTGCGCGATGCGCGTCCTGTAGGCCCGCTCGGCCCTGGGCGTTCAGGCGCGGTTAGAGGCGTTCAAGAGGAGCGCGCGCGCTTGCGCCGACGTCGGGCTCGCGCACGCGCACCTGCGCCGGCGTCGGGCTCGCGCACGCGCACGGTGGCGGCAACAGCAGCGGCGGTTCCTGCCGGGGCTTGAGAGCGGCGGTCGGCTACGAGCCGAGTGGCGACAGTGAGGGGCTCGGAGGCGGAGGCGGCGACTCGGCGCGCGGTTCTCGGCCCGACTCGTGCCGCGGTGGGCGTTTCGGTCCGGTCCAGGAGTGCGGGCGCGGCGGCGACGGCTTCCCAAGGCCTGCGG